ATTTAAGCCCTTTAGAATGCAATTCTTGAATATTTACTTGAAATTATTGGTGCTATTTTCATTCTCTCGAGGACGTAATTAGGGTAATTCCTTTGTCCGCCCCCAACGTGATTCCATTTGCCGTGCGCGTTTGCGTTTTGAGAGAATGCAATTACCTATAAAAACATGCGGGAATTTGCGATGTGTATGCATATGCAATTTGACTAGTATCGTGTAATTAGATGATAAATGCTTAATTCTGAAATTGGCATAGCCATGTTACTATTTGGCTTACTTAGATAGGGGAATTTTCGTCCTTTTTGGTCAAATGTAATACGGATTTTGAAGGCTAAACATGTTTTAAGGAAAATTATTATTATTTTTCATCTTTTTTTCGGAAGCATTTTAGAAAATCACGGCACGCTTGGGGCATCGGTTCCTGATCCGGTTGGTCTTAGCTCTCCGACCTTCGAGTCCGCTCGTATCGATTCTCTCGATATTCAACCTAAGGATTGGCTTCAAACAATCAGTTTTCTATCGACCCAAAAAAACAAAAAAGCAATGAAGTTTTCTAATGCACATATTTAAACAAGCAAAAAGAGGGCCTAAAGAAACTATAATATTTCTTTGATTTCTTTCAGCAAAATAAAGGCTATAAAATCATATCTTTCGAATTTTCAAAGGGTACTATAGGCATTATGACTACCTATTTATTCATGAATTTCCTAATTTAAATGCAGCAGAGCAATAACTTATATATTTAATTATTGTAGCCTAATTCTAGCATTATAACGATATTAATTATATAGGATAATCAAGAAAACAAGATGAGGGTACTTTCCTTCCCAAGCGGCCTCCCCCATGGTTGCTGTGAACTCTATCACAAAGCTTGCCGAGCTCGCACGAGCCTCCCAAGGCCACGAGGTCCGTACGAGAGACGACAGAGGGCGGGTCGTCGGCTCGAGGAGCTCGGCGGCGAGTGGGCACCGGAGGCGTCGTTGGGTGACGGCGGGAGAGGCGGCGAAGGGTGGAGAGAGGAGAGCTGGTCTACCGTGTGTGTGACTGAGTTGGAAGGAGGGTGGAGAAAGAGAAGGAGATAGTTGTGGGGTTTGGGGCTTAAAAATGTTTTTTTTTAGAAGTGATTGATGGATTTTTTATTAAAAAAAGAAAAGTGTAAACATCAGAAAATATTTTACAATTTTACATTTTACCTACATTTGACCATATTCATTTTAAATGATGTTTTGTATTTATTATTCATTTTACCTACATTTGACCAAATTTGAATAGGTTTAATATTTTCGTCCAATGTCTAATTGGCCCGACTTTCACGCCCTTCGCGACCTGAACTTCCTGTGAATGCTGTTCGATATTCGACAAAGTGTTAGGATCACAGATTTGTGGGAATCGAGTCAAAATGAACGACCTTGGTGAAAAGGTTCGCTATTTTCTCCGTTAAATATATAATCGCTGTGATGTTTGCAGCTTCATAGAGCTTATCACTTGATTTTCTGACATCTTACGATTGTGTTAAAAGATGTGATATATATATTGGTCGAAAAAAGATGGGTTATATTAAGATATGGTCATCCGTTCAAGACGGTAGATACTCGATTCGATTCTCTCCTAATTATATTTACAACTACCACCAACCTTTCCTACTTCTCCATTATATTTATACATTGAACACAATTAGTTCTCAATATGCGTGTATACCACTACATTTATCTTTGACTGGTGGGTTGAAATTATGAGTATCACTTACAGAAAAAAACCAAAATTAAACACGACCCTCACGCAACAACTGATCACAGATATGGTTAGAGGAAAACACCGCCCTATGTAAAGAAGGCAACACGCACAAGAGTGATGATCATGACCCAATACCATCCACTACGAGAGAAATCGTGATTTAAAGATGACATTTGTCGCATCCAAACCAAGTGCCTGATGATTCAACTACACCTTATCGCCTTCGCACTTAATGTAAGCGATCATCTAGGCTTGTTACGTGGGCAATGTTTAGAGTTCAGTTTCCATAGAGAGTTTAGAGCAGATGATGCATGCTACGCCCATGGGAATTTACTCTAATGTCAACAATTCATGTTAGCTATATCATAATTATGTATTCAATGTGTATCGGTTCGTGTGAGCACAAAGCACCAAAGTTTTGATTCTTTAAGCCAAAAACAATCGAGACATAATGAAATCATCTCGATTCTTGTCAATACATAGGTTACAACAATCGTGTCATGCCTTATTCGGATTATCTCTCTACAGATCGCGTTTTACATAGCGTCATATATATAAATTAAGTCTAGCATCGCTAACTTAATTCATACAAATGGCTACAGAGACCCTAATTGCCCGCGTCACCCCAACCAAAATGAGCATCGCTATCTTCACCGTGAAGGAAACCCTTCCTAGTCCTAAGTTCAATATGTTTGTCCACTTCAAAAGCTAATAGCTCGATGGTTGACATACTTGAATTGCGAGGGCTACTAATCGGGGAGACTCGACATAGATTCTACGTCTTGCAATCATGCCAATTCCGAAGTTCTCGAACAACATACTCATACACTCTTTTCAACCGCTTATTCAACACAAGTGTATAAAATACCAAGTATGCACTACTCAACAATAGTATTCGTACATTAAAAGAGAGAGAAGAAAAAGAAAAGGAAATAATGAGAGCATTACTGTTCTATCCATTGTCCCACAAAGACAATACAGCTTGCTGTGAAAACGACACCGAGTCTTCTTGCATGCTGCTGCAAGAAAGTACTTCCTTGTCCCAATTCCGCTTGCATGGCCACATCATCTTCACTGTCACATAATCCTTCTGAAAATTAAAAAAGAAAAAGGGAAAAATATTATTTATCTATTCGAGCTTATTTATTTCTTGGGTTAATATAACGAAAAACTCCAAATTGATATACTTATGATAAATTTACCCAAACTAATTTTTTGACCACTAAAAACCCCAAACTGATATATTTGTGACAAATTTACCCTCAGTTAGTTTCCGTTAAATTAGATTAATACCACAAAAAATCACAAATTGGTACACCTGTAACAAACGAAGAGTAAAATATAAAATTAGTACATCAGTCAATTGCCGCGTATCATTTAACAAAGCAATTTGACAATAAAATTTAACGGAATCAAATCGAGGGCAAATTTGTACACATGTGTACAAATTTGGGATTTTTTGTGATAATCAAATTAGTTTTGAGTAAAATTTTCACGGAAGTACAAATTTGAGATTTTTCGTGGTATTAACCCTTATTTCTTTTAGGCCACAAGATGATATCTGATCTCTCGTTGGCTGGAGGGAATGCAAAAGGGTGGTCGCCGCCGCACCCGATCAGCGGTCCCCAAGCTTTGGGGATCGAACGAAATTGACTTGTCTAGCGTGCACAGCACAGTGCACAGTGCGCAGTCGTTTTTGGCCTTTTGCATGACGGAGCGCTGGGGAAAAAAATTAAAAAATAGGAATTAATTCTCCGGCAATAAATAATAAAATATTTAATACGCGGGGTTTGCATTTTTTAACCCCGAAAAAATAAAAAAAAAGGAAGAAAAATCGCCCAAAAAAGTGAAGCCATTTCACTTCCCATGCAACTTTAATTCCCACGAAAGTCTCCCTCAATCAATCACGAGGGCGCAACATCGCATAAAAAGCTAAGATTTCATTCGGATATTATTAGACACTTATCAAATAATTAAATTCGCATTAACCTTTTCCTCGAAAAAAAATATGTAATTAATATTTTCATACAAAACCTGCTCTTGCGTCCCATCGATTAAAAAAAGCGTAGAAACACCCATCGAATATTCAATTTTCAGAATATTCATCATGTATAGTAAAATAAAGATTAGTGCATTTTAACAAGATCTCGAACTATTAGGTTTTGCCTCAATAATCACATTTCCTATTTGAGAAAGGGGAGGTGGGGAGTTCAAACCTCTATTTTCTTGAGGAGCTAAGAGTGGGGACGTGTAATTTTAAATGTGAGTTTTGACTCTCATGCCCTACAAGAGGTAAGGCAAAAGTCTTAGAGTGAGTTAAGAGTTATAAAAGAACAAAAAAAAAAAAAGATCTCGACAACAATATTTCATAATTTTCTTTTTGGAAATTAGGTTTCTTATTATAATGCAAGCTTAATAATTAACCCTTTCTATGCTATTTTATTTCGCCGAAAATTTTACGATAAAATTCATAAAAATTATTTTCGAAAAAATAATTAATTTTCATTTACTTGAAAATTTACAGGATGGTTTCCTTTTTACTTGAACGAAAAGCCGTTTCCCCTAATATAAGCTTATTGTTTTCGGCCCATAAAAAATTCTTTATATAAATTGACTAGTTTTTCATCATTCAAGTATCAGAAAATTAGAAAAATGATTTTCTGAAAATGATTTCCTTCTAAACAAACGTACCCCCAAATTTTGCTTTCACTAATTCTCTTTGCTTTGCCCCTTTTTGTTCATGTGTGTTTTATAATTTAATTTAATCTAATTGTCAGCTCAACTCTTTTTTGACTAATTTGACTGTGCCACACACACACTCTCTCTCTCTCTCTCTCCTCTTTCTCTCTCCTATCACAGACCAAAACACTCCTAATCATTACTCTCCTCCTGCTTTTGTCTCTCCCACACAGCCAAAAAAGCTAAAAACACTTCTCTCTTCTTCCTTCCTTCCTGGTGCTGCTGATCTTGATGCTCCTCCATCTTCTACTGTTACGCGCCCGCATTCTTTAATCGGGCAAAAGCTCCGGCGAAAAAGTTAAGAAGAAGAAGAAAGGAGGAAGGAAGAGGAAGAAGCAGACGGAGGAGGACGGAGCTAAGCAACCTTCGTTCCCGCGCTGCATCGGCCGCTTTTTTAGGGTTTTGGACTGGAGCTGAAGCGGGGGGCGCCGGAAGTGGCGGAAGCGAGTCGTTCGCCGGCGAGCATCGGCGTTGCTGCCGCTTCGGGGCGGCGGCGAGGGGGGGGGGCAGGATGAGTCAATGAGGGGGTTGTTAATGCGGGCGCGATGGGGTGTGTGTTCGGCAAGCAAGCGTCGGGGAGGGCGGTAGAGAGGGCGGCGAGGGGGGCGAGGGGGGAGGAGGGCGGCAGCGAGGAGGTGGAGGAGGAAGTGAGGGTGAAGGTCGCGAAGTTGGAGGTCGGGGAGGCGAGGAACGGGAGCGGTCGGAGGGGGTCGGCGGCGGCGGCGGTCGAGGATGGGGGCAATGTGCGGGCCAGAGGGGAGCGGAGCCGGGCCCCGAGGCCGAATCCGAGGAGGAGCAACCCGCCGAAGCACGTCCACGGGGAGCAGGTCGCCGCCGGGTGGCCGTCGTGGCTGTCGGAGTTCGCCGGAGAGGCCATCAATGGCTGGACGCCGCGGCGAGCGGACACCTTCGAGAAGCTCGATAAGGTAAGGATCCGGGCGATGTTGATTTGGTGCTTCGTGCTTCGGATTTCGTCGTGTCTTTAGTGTGATGAGCTCGGCGAGGTGATAATGCGGCGATTGTTGCCTTTTTCTGACGATTTTCTGCAGTGTGCGAGACACTGTTGAACTGTTTGCATTGCTGATGGTGTCATGTTACAGGAATACATGATCTTTTCCTCTATATCTGAACAGAAACGAGGCATTTTTTCGGTGATCTGATTGTTTTGGGCACTTGGAGGTCAATGGGTGGATTTTTTTAGATGCTTGATGAAGTGGGTATTAGACAATCTGGTTGTCTTATTAGTCGTTTTCAAGTTATTGTGTTTGTCCTGTTGAATGAGTAAGAATTTTTGGTCGAATGGGAGATTTCTGCATGTCTTGGGTGAACTTTCTATATATGGCTTCGTTAAGATCCTGTTTGTATCTATTAGCTATGAGGTAAAATATATTCAGATTTACGTTTCTCAGCTATTATTTGTGAAATTTTCCAGATTGGGCAAGGTACATACAGTAATGTCTATAAAGCTAGGGATACTTTAACAGGGAAGATTGTCGCTTTGAAGAAAGTGCGGTTTGATAACTTGGAACCAGAGAGTGTAAAGTTCATGGCGAGAGAAATTTTGATACTACGACGCCTGGATCATCCCAATGTTATTAAGTTGGAGGGTCTGGTGACATCAAGAATGTCATGTAGTTTGTACCTTGTATTTCAATATATGGAGCATGACTTGGCTGGACTTGCCTCGAGCCCCGGGATCAAATTCACCGAGTCTCAGGTAAGATTGATTCGACAGCTTCTAGTTTCGATGGTGGACACTTGATAACTGTAATGCTTTGCTGAAGTTGTCTCTGTTTGAAGAGATGCTTAAAGTTGGGTTAAAGTTTTTCTCCTGCTACCTGAATGGGATTGCAGGTCAAATGCTACATGCACCAGCTGTTATCTGGACTGGAACACTGCCACAATCGCCATGTCCTTCATCGTGACATCAAGGGGTCAAACCTACTTATTGACAATGATGGAATTCTTCAGATCGCTGATTTTGGATTAGCTTCTTTCTTCGATCCCAATCACAAGCAACATATGACTAGTAGGGTGGTTACTCTGTGGTATAGGCCACCAGAGCTTCTTCTTGGGGCTACTGATTATGGTGTGGGCGTGGACCTCTGGAGTGCAGGTTGCATCCTGGCTGAGCTCTTAGCTGGAAAGCCTATTATGCCCGGTCGAACTGAGGTTAACTTCTGACTGTATCACTTAATTCTGCTGCTAATGTTGTTGCACTATCTGGGCATGCCTAGTGCTTTTGTTTCTTGAACCAATGAGTATTAGACTCCCACCTTCGTATGGAACGAACAAATTCTGTGCCGGAGCTTTTTGCCTTTCTGCAATTTAATGAACAACTGACGTTCCAATAAATAGTGAAATCGATGTAATTCTGCTTTGTAGACTCATTCGATAAGTTTGTTTGTTGGAGTCAGCTCAATCCTCCAAGTACAATCTTTGACATTATAAAATTTCACTGCTTTTCAAGATTATGAATGACACTCGTTGTGCTTGTTTGTTTTGCCTAGGTGGAACAACTGCACAAGATATTTAAGCTATGTGGTTCTCCTTCAGAAGAATATTGGAAAAAGTCAAAGTTGCCTCATGCAACCATATTTAAGCCCCAGCAATCATATAAACGCTGCATAGCTGAGACATTTAAGGACTTTCCACCATCATCTCTACCTCTGATTGAAACCCTTCTTGCAATTGACCCAGCTGACCGCCTAAATGCTACTGCTGCACTAAGAAGTGAAGTGAGTCCTTTTGCACTTCATTTGCTCTATATTATGTTTATGCTCCTGCGTTTGGATGTTGTCTTTGTGCATTGAATTGTTACTTTATTAGGTCAGTTAATAATACTTAATTCTACCAATGAGATATATCCTGCTTTCTGTTTGATGCGTGCTATCACTTTTATAAAAGAAATAGGCTCTAGTCACTGTATAATTTGTAAAATGTTTAACTTGTTCTTTCTAGTTGTTCTATGATGATGAAAACCCTGTCTTTCGAAGGCTTTTTTCCTCTTTCTAGGACCATCCCTTTTTAGGGTATTGGGCTAGCTCGCAATTCCTTTGCTTTTGATAGATGCTGTGATTACACAATCAGTTAGGTTTGAGACTATTGATCTAACATATGCTTCGCACTTGTTTATTTTGTTGTGCAATTCCAATTCGAGTTTGGCACAGTGGATGAGAAAAAGTCTCAATTACCGAGCAAAACAAAGCAAGCCGCATTTGGTTGGGGATTTGGTTTACTTAGATTCACACAGAGCAAGGGTTTGTGGGTTCTTCAGGATAAACTGTCATTTCCAATATAATTTTTCCATAAGATCTGACAAATGTTGATTTGAATAATAATGGAATGATTTGGGACTTCCTCATGCTCTTGAATATTGGAAGGCCATTTGGGAAATGATGTCCGATGAGATCATTTATAGTTATTATTATAGCAGACAGAATTCCATTGGTAGTATCCAGTGTTGGCTGTTAAAATGAGGTCATTGAGGGCAAAAAGAGGGAAGATTTTGTGAGGCTCTGCAAATCTGGGTTCTGGTTGCTCTAATTGATTCCTAACTTTAGATTCTTATGACAATTACTTGCTTAATTGGATAATCATTGGTGATGCTTTTGTTTAAGAAAATGAGTTGCATGATGTTTTATTGGCCTCAAATATACAATTTGGAAACCTACATGGCGTCATTTATGGAAACTTTTCTTTTCTTTTGCAGTTTTTCACAACCAAGCCCTATGCTTGTGAACCTTCCAGCCTTCCAAAATACCCTCCAAGCAAGGAAATGGATGCCAAATTACGGGATGAAGAAGCTAGAAGGTAGATATATACTTCTATATGTTTTGACTCAGGACCAAATTAATTAGGCATAAAAAAGGAATGGTTGGATAGAGCTAAATATTTTGAAATCAGGATGGGGGTATCTCATGCTATATATGAAATGTAATCCAGAAAGAAACTACGAAATTGATTTGTTAATTTTGTTAACACATCCAATAGTTCTGTGACAAATGTTCCTAGGCACTATACTGTTGACACATTTTTCATCATTCTATCCTTTTTAAACTTCTTCAATTTGATCACCCTGCTCTGATATTAAGTGGGTTTCTTTTCTTGTGTCATAATTGCATAGCAATCTTACTTTATTAAAAGCATTCTCTTGCCTTATTTAGGATGTTCTCGTTTATTTGAGTTTTACCTTTATCATTCTTTGCCCTATTCTCTAATATTAAGAAACTCTTTTCTGCATGTAGTCTAGCTTTACCAGTCACATTCTTTTTGGGACATAACTAAAATGAGCTTTCATCTTTCAGACTGAGAGCTGCTGGCAAAGGTAATGCTGACGGGGTGAAGAAAACCCGACCTCGTCCTAGGGCCATACCTGCTCCAGAAGCCAATGCCGAGCTTCAAGCCAATCTTGATGTATGCAGATAAGCTAACTTTTTATGTACTGACTGCCGTTGTTGTCTATTGTTAATCTGGACTTTTTGATGCTACATTCCTTCCATCTGTCATGGATCTCTCATTGGCATGACAATGATGATATTGTTTCTACATGCCCCATACGCCATGTGAAATGTTTTCTTTTTCTTTTATCTTTGGAAAGAGAAAGGAAGCTGGATGGGAGAGCTCTTACACTCCAATTTAGAAATTGCAACTGTTTTTCTAATTGTGACTAGTGGATTACACTGTAGTCCTTGATTTGAGGCAGGCCCTAACAAAATTATTGAGTAGGATTTCACAGTTTTTAAGGCTCCTAACAAGCTGTGCGTATGTCTTGATATAAGTTTCACACTTTGTGATGGCAAGAAAAAAGTTTTTATAGATAGCTTAATTATCATGCATTCTGATAATTCGATGGTCGTGTATGCGTGCACCATGTCCTATGTTTTGCTTAGTCATTGAATAGGAATGAGGAAGCCATTCTGCGGAAACTTATTTATGTGTTACTGTGGTCTGCATTCATTTATGGCAGAGACGGCGTCTCATTTCACATGCAAATGCAAAGAGCAAGAGCGAGAAATTTCCTCCTCCACACCAAGATGGGACGCTTGGCTATCCTTTGGGTACTTCGCATCATATTGATCCAGTTTTTGAGCCGCCTGATGTCCCGTTCAGTTCCACGAATTTTTCCTATCCAAAAGCATCCTTCCAGACTTGGTCGGGACCGTTGGTTGACTCCGGTGCCGTAGGTGCTCCCCGGAAAAAGAAACACTCAAAGAGGGATGGGCATGCACAGTCGAGAAAAGAAGCGGCAAATGCTCGGATGAAAGATTGAGATGGACAGATGATACAGTTTCTCCTTTTTTGTTTTCACATGAGGATATTCCGGATGCTAGGAAGACTGGATTCGGCTACTCTATGTTCAAGGCAAGAGAGTTATATTTTGTTGAGAGGTACCATTTATTACACAATTTTTATCAATCCTTCTGTTATGTAAATTTGTGATTTGGGAAGCTCTTCTAACTATGTTGTTCCCCTTCTTTTTTCTCCTCTCACGGAATACTCTATTTAGGTTATTTTCAAATTTATTCATCTTTGAAAGTGGATCTTGCGTCACTAATTTGATATGTATACCCTAGTTTTTGAATTATGCCAATTTGATTAGGTTCTTATACGAGCTCATGGCTCTTTTGACGCAAATGATTTCCTCTACTACTTAAAATGATAGGATTTTTCTCAATTGTAAGAGTAGCAGCGCTTATGAATGCTGGTGCTGTTGGGAATTCCTCATGTCCGAGTGTTTTTTGAATTTCACTACTTGTTTGCTGGGAATCTACTTTAAGTAGTCACGATTTGAGAACTGACCCGCTTGAGGAATTCATGTTGTATTTGTTACACATCACTTAGTTATGGTACGTAGAAGGCATCTACTTGAACTGATTGCTCTCAAGAATCAAGTCTGTCACTCCATGATTTTGAAAGGCGGATGTCGCGGACGCCACAATTTTGTCATCCTTCTGGAATGTAAGGTAAGCTTTTGATGGATAACCAAATTGTCTTCTTCTTACTATCTGTTCCAACTTCTTGTGCTATGAAGTTCTTGGGTTGACTCGGTGCAACAACCAACACTATAGAAATGTGAACATGCGCAGTCCATAGGTTTTAATCGGATTACATCTTATGCAGTCTTTGATTCATAATCTCTACGGCATCGACGAACCGTATGTGCATATTTTTTGCGTTAATTGGATCTATCTTGCACGGGTAAGGATTATGCATCAGACCCGCCTCTTGATGGAAAGCCATTTTGCTTTGTCTTCACCAATGTACAAATTTCCCTGTGTTCTAGTATGTAGGTAGTGGTCAGTTCTGCTCGTGCCACTACATCGAAAAATGAGTTTGTCAATCTTGGAGGGAGCAGTTCTCTGCCTTTAGGAGGCAAACGGAGAACACCTTTGGAGTGACGTTTTTCTCTCCCTTTCATTTTTTAATTCCCAAATCTCTTCGTAATTGCAAATCCTAGTCCTAGACAGCAGTTCAGTAAACCTAAGTCGAGCTGTTCCGGCAATTGTACCAAGAGGTCATGGGTACATGTGCTCCCTCAAATCTGTCCGTTAATTATAAATCGAACCCGGTAATGCCTGTCCTCAATGTTTGCGTTCCCTCTAAACGTGTCGTTGTTCATTTCATGGCGGGCGAAACCAGGGCAGATCAAGTGGATGGATCGCGCTTCATCATTCCCTCTAAATGTGTCGTCGCTCATTTCATTCCCTCTAAATGCGTCTTCATGAAGAAGCGAGTTACCATTCTTTATTATCCTGGTTTCTTCATCCGTGTACATGCCATTGCCCCACATGGCCAAGGCGATACGAAGATAACATATGTTCATGTACATCTAACATACGATTTGTTCCGTTCCACGCACGTCACATTTTGGTGCTTCCGTGCCACTCCAGGCCACCGTTGGTACTGCATGAGATGCATTAACGACAGTGAAGCAGCGAGGTGATAGTGTGTTGCAAGCGAGAACGATAGAATACCGAGAATCGATTCTGATGGAAGGACTCATGCCATATATAGGCATCTGTAGGATCAATGCATGAACTGTTTCAAAATTTTCATTTATTTATCCTTTCTGTGCATGGACTAGCCAGGTGGGTTTTGCTGCCTTTCGCCATCTGACCCACCTCACCTCCAGTTCTCACTGTTAAGAAACCCACATAAGAGACATGCTTGAGAGGGAGATGCTACGGTATCTAACCTCTCTCTCTCTCTCTTTTGCTGGGTATGTAGTGTTCAAGAGTTGAAATTGAGGGCAAGACCGAGACGCAGAGAAAGGTAGGTAAGAGGAAGAGCAGTTGCAGAGGTTTGACAGGCGGATTTGCAAAAGCGAAAAAGTGTCTAGAACCTGGTAGAAGAAAGAGAAAGACCCTTCCACGTGTCCGTTGTTCGACCCAATACCATCATATACGACCCCTGAAAAGATCGTGCTATCCTTGGTGGTCTTCTGTGTATATATATTTAGCGTCCACAGGACAACCCACACAATCTATCTCAACTTCATGCTTTAGCTCATTTTCTATTCCGCTTATGTCTCCACAGTAGGGTTCATCACTTTCCGTCCGTCTGAACGACGGTAAGATCATTGGCTTTGGTTTTGGAAGAGAGTGAATCCAGAAACTGCTGCTGGTTTAGCAATTCGAGGTCGCTGCACCGCACGAAGGTGACATAACACAAAGGTTTTGGTTTTGGAATGAGACCTCCTGGTGGTCCTGGCGGGCCTAGGCCCGGAGGACCAGGACCCGGACCCGGTCCTGGGCCTGGTTGGGGTCCGCCTGGGCCTCCCGGGGGTCCCGGTCCAGGTCCGGGTCCGTGGCCAGGGCCGGTGGGCTTCCTCGGCGGCCTCTTTGATGGCTTGTGCACCACCCTGTCTTCCTGGTAAGTGTGTGGAATGAGTATGTTCCTGGCCTCGTATGTCATGTTGTAATGGTTGAGCATTGAAAGTATGCCTTCGCAAATGTGCGCGACCATACTCCTAGACACTGACAATCCACCCCTTACTGAACCTGTGGCCGAGGGAATTCTGCTATGTTATTTACTTCTCACCTGATGAAGTGATTGTCGATAGTTTTTGCTCACGTAGTGACAAATGGTGCATGTTCAACTCTTCTCCCATCCTTGGTTTACATGAGAATGGAAAAACCCGGTTTTCCTATTTTCCATTTTTCATACAATGGAGAGCTCCATATGAGGTAAGTAAACTCCCCACCTTAAGGAGATGCCCCTGAGATAATGGATGAAGGCGTAACTTAATATTTAGATATCGTAACACTACTGACCTTATGAATGGTACGAGAAGCTAAATTTTGTGTGTGATTGTGTATTTTGTTCCTTATCGACTAATCCAATTCATGGAGTATCGCTTGGCTGACCACTAATGCCCATTATCTGGCTGTACTGTAATTGGGATGTTGTTTTCATACCTATACACCTTTTTCTATTGTAGCACTTGATTTGAGGAATGAAATTTGGACATGTGTCCCCCAATATAGATAGTGGTTGGTGACTCAGTGTTGTCTCACTTTCGTCAACTTTTTACTTTTAGACTAGAAATTCAAAAAATAAATGATAAGAAAAAGCTCAGCTGAACCAGGAATGTCGCAAGTTTTCTTCTTCTCTGACATCAGAATTAACTCCTTTTTAACTTTCCTGTAATACATTTTCGGTGCAGCTTGTACGTCCTGTGCTGTTGCTGGTTGTTGGACGACTGCTTCGGTGCCCCGCGCGGGCCTCCTGCCGGCCCACCAGCTCCGCCGCTCGGTCCGGCTCCGCTCCCCCCCGTATTCCCCCCGCCTCTCCCGGGCCCGCCACCACCTGCGCCGGCTTTTGGTCCGCCACCACCTTGGCCAGCTTTCGGCCCTCCTCCACCTGGGCCTGATTTCGGCCCGCCTCCACCCGGGCCTCCTGTGCCAGCTTTCGGCCCTCCTCCACCTGTGCCAGGTTTCGGCCCTCCTCCACCCGGACCTCCAGGGCCTGGTTTCGGCCCTCCCGGTCCGTTCGGGCCCCCAGGACCCCCTCCTCCCTGAATTGAATGTGAAGACAGCTTCATCATTGTTATGGCAAAAAGATGGTCAAAGTTGTAGGCCTCGTTTGTGTTGATCATTCTTAGGCACTGTAAGCAAATTCCAGAGTAGGGTCTAATGTCTATCTCATGATGGAAGCATTTCTCTCACTACGATTCTAGGAATCCAAAGAGTTCTTATTTTCCCCCCTTCTTCCAGAAGATGTGCACATCATATGCTTTGAACGTGCCATGCTATCACCACACGACCCTATCCAAAACGGTTCTGGTCGATCGTCTGTTTGAGCGTGGATCCCCGTAGACAAGAGCGTTAGTATTTGGATTTCACTTGCGAGTTGAATGACTCGGTCGTTTGTCAGGAACCAACGACAATACAACACCGACCCTATCCGGATACAGCATGGAACCAAACCCAAACAGCGCCCACAGGAATTGGTACAGCTTGTTCTGATTCTGGCGACGGTTGGGTTTGATGGTCCACTGGAGTCCCACTCTCATTCATTATTGCTCGGTGTCCTTCTGAGTAGTCAGATAGTGTCGTTCTTCGATACTCGTGAGATGTTCGGGATATTTGGAGCGCTGGATGATGTTTTTTGTTGGGTGTGGCTCTCCTTTCGTCCCGACCTCATCGAGTAATTATCATATTATACAGGTTCGTGTTCTTAGAGATGGCATAGACAGAAGCATCGGCTTGAGCTTTCGATAAAGAATACGAACTTTTTTAACCCTTAAAAGATCGCTTAGATATAGGAAAGTTAGGCACATCGAATATGCTAGAACTTGAGACATCAGATCGGCAAAGTTCTATCAAATCGAAGGTTTGAGCGCCTCAACTTGGAGCAAGTACTTCATGTGACATTACATTAGTGTAATAAATCAATTAAAAATTGAGTGATCTGTTACTTATGACAAACATATCACATGGGCAATTGATCGATCACACCATGTCATCGGTACGACGGATGCACAAAGTACTTTTCCCTCGACTTGATGATCGGAAGTGAATAAAAGTTGTGGAAAGAAATGGTGGTGGGAGAGAGGGGGAAAGCAAATCCATTGTCTAGAAACAAAGGGGAAATGCAGGTGAGGATTTTGGAGCAGAATTTGTTTCATGGCCTCGCCAAGCTTTGGTTCTCTCCAAATTGAGGAGAAAAGATAGGAAGAAATCAACAAGTCCACATGCAATTTTTCACCATACTGCCCTCGTCTTCTAGACCCACTTAGATACTTGTGCAATTTCAACTGGCAAAAAAAATAATAATTTCTTCACCTCTCGTTTCTTTTATCTTCATTTTCACTTTCCTCACCTCCCAAAACGCTTTTCGAAAAACAAAGTGTTGAGTGCACATCAGGCAGGCATCTTGCCCGGGGCCGGTCCACCTCCACATGTTTCCTTCGAGATGGACCCCAAAATGAATGGCGACACAACACAATATTTTGGGGAAAATTACCAAAACAGTCCTAAACCTTTTGCAATTGTGCCAATTCAGTCTTAAACCTTTTTTTTTGCCAATTCAGTCCTAAACCTTTTGCAATTGTGCCAATTCAGTCCATCCGGCCACTTTTGGACGGCCGAAGCTGACGTAGACGCCGGGCGGCTGACGTGGCAATTTTTAATAATTTTTTATTATTTTTCGAATTTTTATTTTATTTTTTTCTCTTTCTTTTTTTTTTCGCCTATCTTCTTCCCCGGTTGCCGGTCCGCCTAGAGGCTGAGGCCGGCGAGGGCCAGCCTCGCCATCGCCGGGCGAGGTCGACCTCGCCATGGCCAGGGCGAGGTTGACCTTGCCCAGCGACGGCGAGGCCTCGCCAGATCTGGGCGAGACCTCGCCGTCGCCTGGCGAGCTCGACCTCGCCCGGCCATGGCAAGGCTCGACCTCGCCCGCCATGGCGAGGCCGCCCGAGATCCGGCGAGCGCCTGGGCGAGGTCGACCTCGCCGTCATGGGCGAGGTCGACCTCGCCGTCGCCATGGCCGGGTGAGGTCGAGCTCGCCAGGCCATGGCGACAGCGAGGTCTCGCCAGATCTGGGCGGCCTCGCCCAGATCTGGTGAGGTCGAGCCTCGCCGTCGCAAGGCGAGGTCGAGCCTCGCCGTCGCCAGGCGAGGTCAAGCCTCGCCATGGTTGGGCGAGGTCGAGCTCGCCAGGCGACGGCGAGGTCTCGCCAGATCTGGGCGGCCTCGCTGTCGTCGGGCAACGCCTCCCCCAGATCTGGCGAGGTTGACCTCGCCGTCGCCGGGCGAGGTCGACCTCGCCATGGCCGGGCAAGGTCGAGCTCGCCCAGCGACGACGAGGCCTCACCCAGATCTGGCGAGCTCGACCTCGCCCGGCCATGGCGAGGCCTCGCCGTCGCTGGGCGAGCTCCACCTCGCTCGGCCATGGCGAGGCCTCGACCTCGCCAAAGGCCGGCGAGGTCGACCCCGTCGGCCTCACCGCTCTCAAACGGCCAACGGACGGCGAACGGGAACAAGATTGGCGAAAAAAAAAAAATTATAAAAAAAATTTATTAAAAATTGCCACGTCAGCGCCGGCCGGCCAAAAGTGGCCGGATGGACTGAATTGGCACAATTGCAAAAGGTTTAGAAATGAATTGGCAAAAAAAAAATGTTTATGACTGAATTGGCACAATTGCAAAAGATTTAGGACTTTTTTGGTAATTTTCCCCAATATTTTGTATAACAACAGATGGATCATCGACCATTCAACACTTGCGACACCTACACATGAAATTGAATGATGGGAAGCATGGAATCTCAGCTGTAGACCTACGCACATGGGTCCTAATCATCGGTTGGTTTGATTGCTAGTCTGATGTTTTGCTGGAATGATTCCCTTTCGATCACATCTTTAACTGTCCATGTTGCAAATTTTTGGATTACTTTGAACGAATTGAGATGGAAAGGTCAATGGGAAAGAAAGGTGTGAAACCTCAATGCAAAATGCTTGGTCATCACTCCCTACCTAAGATAACCACCACGTACACTAGATTATTATGTCGACGTGGAACGATAATGTTAGGTTTATGCAGGTCAAGCCTCCGAAAGGGAAATTCGAGATGATGATCATCGAGAGTGAGCATCACTTCTGAGTTGCTTTAAAAAGGGGCCAATCTCATCCAAGATAGGACCTTTTGGTGTCGGTATATGCAGGAATTGATCATACAATTTTGAGGGAGCCTCGGTTAGGAATTATCTAATGTTCTCAAATGGGATACTCACGGCTCACTGAAGATCATTGATAGGCTGTTTTCCTTTTGTGAATGATGTCAATTCGAAGATTTGACTAGATGTATTTGATATGATGCACGTGAAAGACGCATCTGGTCGTGGTCGGAATTGATTAACCTCGCGCATCGCCATCTTATCGGAACATTGTTGTCTGCCATCTAAAGATCGAACATTTGGCAAAAAGTTGGGTAGATCTGACCCTACCCTATTACGTGCAAGTCCTCGATTAAAATCATGTTGCTTGGTAATCTACCTAGTGATAGAAACAAAATTGGAACAACAACCTTTCTCTCTCTTGCTCTTTCACTCCTTTGCCTGTCCAAGCAAAACAATGGCAGAAAATCACCGGCGATAGTGGCTGAACATGAGGTGAATCAAATTAGAGTTTTATTCAAAGGACGCGAGTGATTTCTGAAATGACACATTATGTATGAACTTTTTTATGGAGACCCAATTGAAAAGTCGGAGATCTACCCAATATTCCGTGTTGGACTTTATGTATAAGCTCTTTCTTTCCTTTTGCACATGTAAAAAAGATGGTCCCCTTTTCGCTTCAACTTTAAAGTCCACAGAAATCGATTTCAAGTGTTGGCCAAAAATTGCCAAAACTCTACAAAGAAAAGTAGGTACCAAGAAAAGAAAATGGAGGTGGTCACACCAAGTAGAAGACAAAACTCACAGCACCGGAAAACCTTGGACGAATTCTTGTTGCAGCCGCATCATTCCTTTGAAGCAATCGAATCCTAAGTAAGGACAAGGAATGGTGATTGGCCTCTAACCATGTTTTGTCTCGTTAATTGTGGGTTAGATATTGCTTCATCGAGGCACTTAACCAATTAATCACGGATCAACGCACGCAATCCCATGGACAAAGGCCACCTTGGTGCACCATCATTGGACCAACTTATACAATATTGGGCTCCCCTGCCTCCCACTAATTGATGTAAGTTGCTTTCGTTCCACACATTCATGATGCGTAAGTTATCATTGGAGCGGCTTAGTTATATCATATTCCATTCAAACCTTAAAAGATGTAGGATTATGAGCATTATAGGATCCCTTAGTCAAGTGGTCCCGACATTAATTACGAGTATTGATGCTAGAATACTCGATGCTGTCTTAGATCATATGCGTAAGTAAAGTCGAAGACATCTCAAACTATGGAGCGAGTGCGATATTCTATTAACTTAGACAATACCAATTTATAAAATGTCGCAGACATTGTCAACGTCGATATAATAATCAACACTAATTTAACAGACTCACTATGGATGTTATTCAATGTACTGCCCAAACTATTTTTAAATCGTTCGTTGATTTTGACTTGCAAGGTGCATAAGTTCTTGGAGTGCCTTAGTTATATCATCTTCCGGTCGTTCCTTACAAAAATACAGGACTATGAGTATTACAGGATATCTTGCTCAATTGGTCCCAACATCAATTGCAGAGTATTAATAATGCTAGAATAGAATACCTGACGCCAACTTAAATAAGATGCATAGGTGGAGTCAAAGATAATCAAACTATGGAGCGAACGCTGTATTAAATTAACCTAGACAACATCAATTTGGTTTTATGAATTCCCCTGAATGCCGCATAGATTGTCGACGTCGACGGAATAACTAGTACTAATTCAACGGACTTGTCGCGGATGTTGTTTAATTTACTGTTCAATCCATCTTTACATTGTTCATTAATATCAACTCTAACCGGCTAGATGGCTCCCCCGCCTGCACGCTTGAGAACCTTACTCAATAAGTAACCTACAGTGAATTGTGAACCTAAAATCGACACCACCATGATGGGATTAGTTGTCTTGTCATAATCCAAAAGGTGCACCAAGTAAGTATCCCAAATCCAAAGTTGGATAAGATACACATACAAAACCCATATCCACATAATTTCCAATTTTCCCGTATATAATATAATACATACTATATATATATATATATATATACGTATACACACACATATATACACCAATCCAACCAAATGAGCTAGATGGGGGCGTATTAGATAAGAAAATGTCTGGCCCACAAATGGGTGTGGGTGCCTGGCCTTCTTGCCGTCACCAAAAACTTGTGGCCTGGGGAGTTGGCAAATCAATGGCCACGTAATCTGGAAAACCAAAGCCGACCAAGCACAGAGCACATACTAATCCAAAAGGCTTGCTTGGATATGTGTCAGCAGACAGACGCGGCCTTCCGGGCGGACGCCACGTGTCGGGCCGATCCAAATTTTGTCCATGATTTGCGCTTTTGCAAGTTTTGCGATTTAAATATAAAGGTGGATCAAGTCCAATAGAGGGCGGTGGCCTCCTAACTTTCCACGTCATCGAAAGCGGCCACCTCTCTCCATGTCCACACAAAGATGCGTACCGCCCTGTTCCTCTCTTTTCCACGTTTCACCCCCCCATTCCTTGGTAGGGACATGAAAGAACACACCAAAGTATATGGACCACACAGCCTATTTTCCGCGATATCATAATTTTGAGTCATGTCGTGAGCAAATTTCTGAACAGATCGTGCTGCGTTGATTAGCTGTGTGACATATCTCGTGTGGAGAAATTTCCTGATCGCTAGCATCTTAGTGGGTCTGCAATGATGGGTCGATTAATCTACGAGCCTTCGAGTAGCAAATGATGCAAAGTAACTATAGCTCAAACTAAACATCACATGTTGTGAGACCTTTACGATAATGCTTATAGGGGATCGTTAGCGCTAGTTGTTCCATCTACTCTTTTTTACTAATAAAAAGCCAAAAAAAAACAGTGAAAATCACAAAATAAATTCAATTTTGGTTCGACCCACAAATAGTTATTTTTGTTGAAACGGTCACTTGATTAATAGAGAGTACGCCTTCCGTGAACCAAACATGTTAGGAAATTTTGGACTATATAGAATACAAGAGGGATTTTGAAATATCTTATTTTTTGAAACTGATACAACAATAACTTTAGCTGCATGTTATTACTTCACATGTATCGTGCTATTGATCCTCAATTATTGTGGCTGAGCTTTTCCTCGACAGATCACCTATGCAACAAGACCACAAATAGTTGTTGTCGTACCTTGGAAATAATGTAAAATATGAAATCATTCGTCCTCTATCTTATGATTAATCGTTGACAAAATATAGCACGAGTAAAATGCGAATTACTGTTGAGCCCTTCTTGACCATTTGGCAAAGTGACTGCAATTTTTTCTCCAGCAATGTGATTAATTTATGATATCCAACTTTTGAATCTTGATTTAAGTGAAAAATGTGTTGAATATTGCAAACGCCAATCTTGCGCAGTTGAAGAATCTGCTCTTCCGGATCTGCTAGCTCGCTCCGGCTTCGATGCTTGCTCTGCTGCTGCCTACATCAGTTGGCTTATTTGAAAGTGATTTTGCAATCAATTGGTATCTCTATTGCAGGCCTTCTCTCCTGATCTAGAGCTAGATTTAGAATTAGGTGCTCTTCTATTCCGATCTAGTTATAGAGCTAGGATTTACAAGGCGATTTACGTGCTCTTTCAAATTGTTGGTGTTTGTTAAAAAAAAAAGACACCCGTTACTGTTGTTGTTCCTATATAGTGACGGTACTGGGGACACCGAACTTATGCACGCATTGCCTTTTCGCAAAGCCGTGACTATTGGAAAGGAAAATCTCAACGTATGATCAATCACCGATGATAATGAGATACCTCTTTTCAAATGTCTTTAATTTTCGAAAGAGAAAATGGGCCTCCATTTGCATTTAAAACGATTGATATGGTACATGATGAAAGGCAACCAAGAAGATTAATAGTTCAAACGCTTTTTAGACAAATAGACACAAAATTATCTATAGGTAAAGAGAGCCATTTAAAAAGCTCCCGAAAAGAGTTTAGTGGGCAGGGCCGTTCTCTCCAACCACTTGGTAGGTACTCGGTACAATTTTCTTGCTATACCTTTCGGATTTTTCTGTGTAATTTTTTTTTCTATTTATTCTCTCGACGTTTAAAGATTTTATTAAAAAAAATTTATCTCGCTATCTTTTAATTTAAAGTAGTGCCCCCTCGAGAAGGGAACGCTATCGTACTAGAAAAATGCGTACTTGTAGTTTGTGGATAAGATTCTTCTAAATGGTGACAAATCATGAGGTGTCCGGAGGAACAGGAAGTTTATGATCACATTGATCGCATCTAATGTGAAGATAAATTCTTTTCCATGATTTTCGCCTACGGAAAATTTTGAAAAAGAAGAAGGAAAATTGCAAATAAATGGCTCCATAGAAAGCAACCCTTACCCTTTCAAAAATCAATCATCCCGGCCCCGTCTATTTTTTTCGAAAAAATAATTAATCTAGATATCATTTTTCTAAAAATGATCGCTCATATTTTTTATAAATATGTATGGACGAAAAATCTTTTCATCATTCACGGAAATTCTTAATCATAAATTATTGTCGATATTAAAAAAAAAATTTATTAACTAAATCATTCATCTTTCGTGAAACAAACGCACCGTAGAATCCAAACCGGTGTCCTTGTACCATTTTAAATAATTTCGAGAAATCACGTTCAATTTTTTATTTTGAAGAATTCATTTTTATTTTCACGCGAACAACGAAACAAAAAGCATGTGAATTTCACGCGGCTAAAATCTCGGCGCAACGCGCTGTCGACACGTGTCGTGTCCTTTTGGCCGGGGGGCGATCCCACAGAAGAAAAAGTGCAATCCTGAGGTGGCTGTCCCCTCTATATATATCGCGTCTTCGGAGACGACGATGAACCACATCATCATCATCGTCATCATCGCTTCCATTCCTCACCTTCCCCCGCAAGAAAATTGTCTCTCCCTCCTTCCTAGACTCTCCCCAGCAGTCGTTCTTCCCTCCATCCGAGGCGAAAATCCCGTTTCATCTCTCGAATTTCTTTTGGGTATAGATACTGGGTTCTTGGGCTGCTTCGTATTCTTGTTCTTGACCATCGAGCCGTGCGCGACCATCGCGTGTATTTTCCGGGCTGGTTCTTGGTCCGGGTCCTTAGATTTTCTGGGTGCTGGTTTGTTGGGGGGAAGTTTTTGAGTTTTTGTAATTACTTTGGGGGGGTGAAAGTATGGAGGTTTCGGTGATCGGAAGCTCTCAAGCCAAGATCTTGAGGACGGACTCGGCGTGCAGAGAGCTCGGGTTGCTGGGTTTCAAGAATGGCAGCGGCGTTTTCTGGAGGAGGTCCAGGATTTCGTTCGGTCGGAGCTATGGGCTGAGGAGTTCCGGGGTGAGGTTAACGTTGAAAGCCGTGCAAACCGAAGCAATCCCGCCCCAGAAAATTTCAAGACCCCGATCTGTAAGCTTTCTCGTTTTTTTCTTCTCTCTCCCTATTTTTTGGGTTGATTTTCGTCAATGGGACTCTGATTTGTATGCTCGTTGAAGGAATTTTCGTTCAAAAGCAACGCTCTTTTCTGGGGTTTCGTCTGTGGTGAATTTTTCGATGTTGGGTCGCTACGAATGTTAGCTGGATAGATGTTAGAAGAACAGAGATGAGAAAGGTATTGCTGCAAGAGGTGGATTTTATTGAGCTTGTAGAATTGGTCTTGGATGATGTGTTGTGGGGTAAAAATTGGAACTTTATATAACTTAAAACTCATGGAGCTCTAGGTTGATGTCAATTTATAGTAACTATAGAATGTTTCGATGCTTTCGTTTCTTTTCGCTTTTACTTTTCTCTCTAATCATGCTGCTTCAACGCTTCAAATCTGGCTTGTGAGCCAAGATGTATGGCTTTTCTTTTGAGGTCTTCGTACACTGCGTTCAATGTTATTATGTAAGAACTAATTTCCAATCTGGCCCTGAAACACCTGATATCCTACCATGGTCTGAGAACCCCTTGTTGTCTGATATCTGCTGAGTTATTGTGGTTGACCAAAGTAGCGTTTGCCTTAGCTTGTCTCTTATCTGATTTTGTAAAATAAGTTGGGAGGAACTTGAGTGTTGTTCCTGTATTGGGTCGGCGGATTCCTTATGGGTGCATTCGGAAGCTAATCAAGGAAAGATTTTGAGGAATTTCCTTTTCTTTCTTTGAGAGTAAGTAATACCGAGTCAGATGTATTATATTCTAAGACAAGAAATGTTCAAGAATTCTTAACGTATCCCGGTTCCTGCGTCATAGAAAAGCTTGTCTTCAGGGACGATGCTCACCATTCAACGAGAAATGTATGGTTTCTTTATAGAATGTGACATAATTTCCTTAATATACTTATGGGTTGTTTGTTAGAGACTTAAAATAACATCACTTGTGGAAATTGATTTCCCACTGATGGTGTACGGACTGAACTTTTGAAAGTTGAGTGAGTAAGAATTAAAATTGTTTGCCCTTTAACTCTCAGTTCTACCTTATCGTTGGCCTATGATTACATTTCTTCTTTGACCCTATTCTGAGTCTCTAGCCCTATTCTCCTCTGTTCATCTTCTATTTAGTTAATCTGCAGATCGCAACATATTGATATGCACTTTTATCTGCAGCGAGGTGGTGTGAGGTTATATGTGGGCTTGCCATTGGATGTGGTCTCCAATTCCAATGTGGTGAACCATGCAAGAGCGATAGCAGCAGGCATGAAAGCGCTGAAACTTCTTGGTGTTGAAGGTGTGGAGCTCCCGATCTGGTGGGGTGTCGTCGAGAAGGAAGCCATGGGCAAGTACGATTGGTCTGGCTATCTCACTCTGGTAGAGATGGTCCACAAAGTGGGTCTCAAACTTCACGTGTCGCTCTGCTTTCACGGATCTAAACATCCAAAGATCCCCCTTCCAGAGTGGGTGATGAAAGTAGGAGAACACAACCCCAGCATTTTCTTCACAGATCGCGCAGGTCAGCAATACAAAGGGTGCCTATCACTAGCAGTCGATGAAGTCCCAGTCCTAGAGGGGAAGACTCCCGTTCAAGTCTATAATGATTTCTGTGAAAGCTTCAAGTCATCATTTTCTTCATTCATTGGTTCCACAATCAATGTAAGAGCGTTTTCTTCACTATTGCGTGATTTTGCCGCACTAATCTTCACCATTCACTGACATAACTTGGAATTGTTTAGGGCATCTCAATGGGTCTCGGACCAGATGGTGAGCTCAGATATCCTTCTCACCAGGGCCTATCCAGAAGTAGCAAAGTCCCGGGAGTGGGAGAATTTCAGTGCTACGACAAAAGCATGCTCGCGCTTCTCAAGGAATACGGGGAAACAACAGGAAATCCTTTGTGGGGACTTGGTGGACCCCATGATGCCCCTGCTTACAATGCATCTCCGAGTTCAAACAGTTTTTTCAAGGATCATGGAGGGTCGTGGGAATCTCCGTATGGTGACTTTTTCCTTTCCTGGTACTCAGGCCTATTAATTCGTCACGCAGACCGCCTTCTCTTCCTTGCATCTTCAGCTTTTGGGGATTCAGAGGTAGCAATCTGTGGTAAAATTCCACTGGTGCACCAGTGGTACAAGACTCGGTCCCACCCTGCCGAGTTAACAGCCGGCTTCTACAACACGCAAAATAGAGATGGTTATGAAGTGATTGCTGAGATGTTTGCGCAGCATTCTTGCAAGATGATCTTGCCAGGAATGGACCTTTCGGATGAAGGCCAGCTACAGGAGGGCCTCTCGAGTCCGGGGCTATTGCTAGGACAGATATGGTCGGCTTGCAAAAAGCACGGGGTCGAGGTTTCTGGAGAGAACTCTTCAGATGCTGTTGCACGCGGGGGATTTGAGCAGATTACGAAGCATTTGTCGGGTGAAGATGCGGCGAACTCGTTCTTTTACCAAAGAATGGGGGCGTATTTCTTCTCGCCCGAGCATTTTCCCTCGTTTACTCAGTTTGTTCGGAGCATGAAACAGCCGCAGATGCACACCGATGATCTCCCGAGTGAGGAAGAAGAAGCCTTGGGGCCCGTGGCCGTGACATCTGAATCAGGAATCCGGATGCAAACAGCTCAGAGTTAGTCTTCTTAAAGTATAGCAATTTGTATTCAGCTAGAGAAAATGTGCAGATGTATTGTATTACTGTGGTATTACTATGAAACTATTCAGAAGGCTGTTTTCCGGGTTCACTCGGGAAATAAGTTTATTTTTCCAGATAATTTGGGTAGTTGATATGGGCAATTTCAGAGGAGTAGAAAATCATGAGAATGACTGCTTAAGCTCATGCGCAGTTTTGCATCATTTGAATCGTCTGTTTGTTTGGTTATTGATCTATTGCAATATGAAGCCGGTGCTGTCCTCCTAACCTCCAATTGTAAGGCGGGTGGTGAATTGGTTCTTCTAAATTCAGATAGAATTTGTGTCCGAGCCTTTCGACGAATTATGTTCTTGTGGGTCGGCCTTGGTTCATGTGCTTGGTGCGCTTTTGTCGTCTTGAAACGGTGAAACCATCACCTTAATGAACCAGGGTGGTGCTCGGAATATCAGCACAGAGACTTGAGTTTCAAAACCACATTACTCCATTGCTCTTGCATTTTACCATCCTGCCATGACATGGCTAGCAGCCAAGCAGGTAGTGACAGCCCACTGTAATTTGCTTCTCTTGTTAGGTGTCTTGCCATTCAAACAATGTTGGTCTTGATTCCATCACGCGAGGCCAATTTGCAGACTGAACGAACTGATCAATCTGTGCATTTTCCCGCTAGATAGCCGAGAGACCCATTCGAGAGACCCATCAATGCCATGGCTGAAGATAATAGCTCATCCGCGTGCTTTTGCTTCTTCTAGAAATGTAAATCAGCTTAGTTGGTTTGAAGTACGATCGAGCGCAAACCATGGTATACCATCATTTGGCGGCCACTTGCCAAGACAACATTATATTGGGCTACCGGTAGACAAAAATCGACACTACCAAATGGGAAGGTTAATGAGAAAACGCATCCTATATTCTATAACCAAGAAAAGTAAAGTTCCACCATAACTCAGAGATTCGATCGTACGTTGCACAATTCCTTGATTGACCATTGAGAGGACACTTCTTTCCATCAAAGGGATACTTTTTTATTCAAAAGATAAACAAGTGTATAGCATACAGAGAAGTACCAACAACTTCTTGTACATGAGAAACTTATGTACAGAAACAAAATAGAACATGGACAGTTGACAACGGATCGCAACGTGCTCGCCTAAGTTCAAAACCCAAATACTTACCAATTATTTCAACTAACTTAGGAACCGAGTTGAATAACTTAATCATTTCACACTTCAATGCAAGCAGCTTCTGCATCCCACGAGTGTACCATCATCCAAGATCATTGCCTGCTCGGACGAGTTTTACTTCGCGATAGACTAGGAATCCCCTGGAATAGAAGGAGACTTTGGTTTAGTGTATTGTATTTCTTCGAACGATAATCTGAGCAAAAAATCAGTCATACAGAAGGTGAAAGTGTGGAGATATTCTCATTTGGAGGGGAAAGGTGCTCTACCACCAAAACAATAGTATCTAGTTGGACACTGTGGGTCAATAAAAAGTCAAAACTCACAACCACGTCACTATATGCCACATATTACAAAGAAAAAATATAGCTGAACCAGCTTGAATGGTCGCCCATTTAATATACACATCGTGGACTAATGATCATAATCTATTTTGAAGTGCGGATGATTTTCCTCCTAGCCATCCCAATAGTGGAACACCCACTAATTGGGTGGAATTCTTAAAATGATAATAACCCGGCTAAGTTCTGGCAAAAGATAAGTGGCATGCGACCAGCTTGTGCCTTTGAAGATTTTGGTACTTGAGGTTCAAATTCACACTACATATTATTAGAAGCTAACTATCAGATCAACAGGAATCGAGATTTTAGAGGCAAACCTGTTCAATAGTTCACTCACACGCAATCTTTGTGTCAAAGCTGCTGAGACAGATTGCAAAAGCCTGGAATGCTGAGATGGGATACCGATAATCCATCGTAAATAAATCCTTCCCCACCTTCCCAAACTGGAGGATGATCTTCTCATGTTGGGGCCCAGCAGGTTCATTTTCAGGAGAAGCAACCAGTTGGAAGTTCTTGACTGAGGCAACTGTTACTCGTCCATGAAAATTCAAGCACCAACACTGAAGTTGTTCGTGCCACCTAGGAGCCTTATTTCTCAACACCAAGGCTCCATCTTTCTGACTAACCATAGGCCCTGAACACACATTCTCCACGCGATTTGATTTTGTTCGGAAAAAAGGAAGCGAGGGAAAGAACTCTACGCTGCTAAGAGGCAACTCTGTCTGTGTAGGGGCAACTCCTCCAGGTTCAATTGCTGAAGCAGGGATGGCGTCCATAATACAGTGCATTCTCCTTGGTCCTCTGCAGGTGAAAGATAAAAGAGACATTGAATGGTTAATGAAAGGCAAAATCAACACTCGCTGTCATATCTATTGCATCCTATTTTTCGGATGCCTATTTAATGCAGAATTTTTAGCAGAACCACTTGTGACATATAGGCTTAGCTTACTGAACACATTTGCAGAGAACACAAAAAGAAAATAATAAAATATATCGTTTAATGCTTAGGCTCATTTAGCAAAGGAGTGTCTGCATAATCTGACTATACAGAGGTGGTAAAATGGTAATTTCCATAACCCAAGTCGTTCATCAAAGAAAAAGCAATTAAGTTCTCCTCGGACGTAATACTCACCTTGAGCCTAACATATTCAGTTCATAAGATATGTGGGCCACCGGATAGTTTCCTGCTGGAACCCTAGGTGAAACCTGTTTTAAACTGACTAGCCTTGTTGAGCGACTTTTTGGCATTCTTGCTCCTGCATGAGGTGGCTGCCCATCAGAGATTGTGAACTTGGTTCCAAGAAAATTAGACCTAAAGAGAGAAAAGAAAATGAGACAACTTTCAATAATAACTCATTAATGCGTCAATAAACTGACAGTCTGACCAGTATTATGTAAGGCAAAATGACAAACCTTAGTTTCCCAACATAGGTGCAGCTACCCTTAGAGACATCATCAGCATGCAGGGAGATCACATAATCTGTGCAGGTGGGGCGTCTACATTTGCGTGCAGCGAGAAGAAACTTCCCGTCATCACTAAGCGCTGCCATGGAGACCAGGAAGACATTGAAAGTAAATTATGATGGCTCAAACAAAATACGATGAAACAGTTCATATCCTAATTGACAATAAACTCAAAATGAAAATGGAATACAACCATAGCAATTGCAAAATCTTGCATATGTAAGAATATAATTGCAAACAAATGACGCGCTTCTAAACAAGTCAAACACCAATTCCTAATGCCTAAGAAAGCAGGTACTCACCATTAGTCAAACCGATATAGAGATGATATGTCTGGTTGGACCTGTTCCGTTTGATAAAGCACTGCAGCAGAGATTCCCTAGGCCCGGGCTGAAAAAATCAAACACGAAATTTTCTTGATAGAGAAACTATGATTCTTAGAATATCACCAGGTCATTGCACTTCAAGCATGATATGCAATTTGTAAGCATAACAAAAAATCCAGAAGACGTGATAAAGATTCACATTGATCGTGCAGCATCTCAAGGACACATCACTATCAAGATTTCTGGACCGTTATAACCAGTATATTGTCCCAAGGTGGAACGACCGAAAAAAAGGTAGAAGGCAATCATCTCAACTGTCCCTCCCCTTTTAAGCCTAAGGGTGGTCCCAGACAAAGCCTGGACCAACTTTAACTGCTGCTTCCGAGACATTCATCGACAGCTTACAATTATTGGCACATGAGTGAACTTTTCAAGGAGATTGAGCCACAAGTTTCTAATTGGTTGCTGCAAAGGACGATAAGATTTAGATATCAGAAACATCACAAATTTCAAGTCGTAGGTTTCGTCTCGACAGAATCTTATCGAGCTCATAACCCAATGAACATCGCTGACGCTCCTGGAAAAACGGGTAGAATCTCAAAATACTCACCCACTTGTGATGTTCTTACCAAAAAGTTTATAAATTGAATAATTGCTACTCCTGCCTCACCAATCATCATGATCATGCTTGAAGTTAAAGCATTCAGAGTTGCTCCTGACAGGAACCGAATTTCTTCATCCCCTCATCTTAACAACATTAAAAATTCAATTATCAATAGTAGGCCTTTCGTCTTAAGGTAAAAAACCAAGTTCCAAAACAGAATCCGGCGATGCCAGACAATGCAACCTAGGATTTGTCACTGCCAATCAAAGTCCTTTGAGAAACAATGAACTCTCCAACTCACTACCACGCCTAAGAACTTCATTTCCACATCAATAACCACCAAATTCAAACCAACAAGGAAAGCCAAAATCCTTAGGAATTTCCCCCACAATCAATTAACTGGCGCACTAACACCAGAAATGCCAAAATTTCCTCTCCAGAATCAAACTCCAGTTCAATTCTCATATCACAGACTTCACTAACAAACACATGCAGTGTCTTAAGCAGGCATAGAAGAAATGGAATTTAACTAAAAGAGAGGGGAAAAACCAGAAATGAAAACCCGAACGATATTGCAACATCAAACATCGTTCTCTCGCAATTCCGAACTTCAACAATTCAAGTCATTCCCATGGTCTTCCTTCTTCCTCTCACCTGTTTAACCGAGATAGGGAACGTCAAGATTCCGGAAACTTCAGGGACCTTCACGATCTCCTTCACCAGGTGCCTCCAGCTCCGGCAGACTCCGGCGCAGGCCACCACGCTCTTCCGCGACGGCCACGACCCCTCCGACGCCTCGATCTTCGCCAGCACCTCCCGCAGCAGCTCCTGCGGCATGTTGGCCCAGCAGCTCCGGCTCAAGCCGTCGGCGGCCTCCGCAGCAGCCGCCGCCGCCGCCACCGCGGCAGCGGAGCCGTCGTGGACAGCCCGGCTCGAGCGCGAGCGCATGTCGTGGATTAGGCTCTTGATTGGCATGTGGGTGCGTCGGAAAAAGGACCGTTTGCCTCGTCGTCTTCGCAGAGAGATGGAAGGGAGGGAGGGTGAAGATGGGTCAAGTGTTGTAGCTGAGCACGTTGCGGTTCCGGTTAGAAAGGTGATTCCTTCGAGAGGTAGATGATGGTGGGGTTTTTGGGTTTTTGCTGTCACACACACAGAGGGAGATTACAACATCAAAGATGACGATGAGGACGATGATGATGTTGTTTAGGTGAGAGAGAGAGAGAGAGAGAGAGAGAGAGAGAGAGAGAGAGAGTTGTCCAGGTTCTTACAAAGTAAAAATCCCATTTTTATAAGTCCCACCGTTTGCAATTCTGATCAAATTAGCAAAATTTGCATGGATAAATGTTATCAAAATGAATAATCGGCCAAAAAAAAGAGACAGGAATCAATTGATTTCGTCAATTTATTTGCAATTAGAAAAGCTGATGGTTTTGTTACTCCTGTTGGAAATTGAAGTTATGAGGTGCTAACGTTGCTCGCCACTAATGAAAGATTTATTAAGTGGCTAAGTTTGTCAGATGGCAATTTCTCGTGCTGTGAAATTGTGAGGGGGTGTGTTTCTTTCTAGCATCCATCCACATGACCCCCCCATTTGAGAGATATTGGTGGGAAGCAATTTGGAGCAAAATCCATTGATGCCAACATTGAAGTTCACCTCTTGATTGAGACGGAGGATATGGACTCCATAGCTTGATATGATGCACAACGAGAATATGAGTTAGTATGTCGCGTTGAAGAAGCTCTAACGAAAAATAGTATGATTTTGAGAGGTTGATCTATTGGACCGATATGGACCGTTCCGAGAAGTGTGAGATCTCACGCCCGATTCTTGCTTGGCACGACCACTTTCAGGTTGAGCTATGGTTCCGATACGTGTGATTTGCTCTTGATCTATGTGAAAACTTTGCATCCTATTTATAGAAAGTAAAGAGAAATATTTATATCTTGCCAGTTGCATCTTTTGAAAGGTTGATTTATTGGACCGATATGGATCGTTTCGAGAAGTGTGAGATCTCACGCCCGGTTCTTGCTCGGGACAACTAGTTCAGGTCGAGCTCTGATTCTGGTATGTGTGGTTTGCTTTTGATCTATGTGAAAACTTCACATGCTATTTATAGAAGTAAAAAGAAATATCTATATCTTGCCAATTTCATCCTTTTCATACTTTCCTTGCAGAGAATTCTTAATGAGTCTATGTGGGGAAGGGATGAATAAGCAGAAATGCTAATTAAGCATTTTGTTTGGGCCAGAAATGCTAACCGAGTATTAAAGTTCTTACCAAATTAAGGAAAATAAAAATACAAAGACATTACTTCGTATTCAGTAAACATTGTGTGTGCTTCGAAAGATGAAGCACGATACACGTGCCATGCATCGCTATTGACGACTAAGTAAAGTTTAGCCAAGATAAACTTCGATGCACAATCTAGTCTTACGGAATCAGACGGGGTTCTTAATCGCTTAGCAACTTAAGCATCAAGAGATCAATCCAAATCATGAACCTTGATATCTTACCCCATTTTTCAGGGGTAATATCTCCGAATGCATATCAATCTCCTGATCAGAGCTCCAAATGAGTTCGTGAGATCATATTTCATATCAACAATAGATACCATCATTTTAGGTTCAAACTGAACACATAACCAATGATTTTGCTCCTTTGTCCATCCACCTTCTAGATAATTGAATTTACATAAATGCTACTTAAAAATTTCAGAATATATTCATTTTGCCATTAAAAAGATTGCCCTATTAATAGATACTTTTCTTTAAGGAGTCATCTGGTAGTTACCCAAAAGTTGAGAACGGAAAATTCCCTCCACACATCAGAATTTGCTTTACTCAAGTACCACAAAATCCAGGCTGCTGAAATTTATAGTAGACTCTAATCTGGCAAATGTCATATAATATGGTCTACCTACAACAACTGTTGTAGGGCTTTCTTGTCCTAATTCGACGAGTCAATGGCTTGTGCTTCAAGAGAAGCCAAGGATCAGGAGATCATTGCCCATCATCTCAATTGACGATGGGTGTGGCTCTAAGTCTCTAATTAATATTGTTTAAGCTAATGTTTATGTCAATCATTAAAGTTTATTAGTTTGGTCTGGCTAAAGTAAGCAATCAAATTGAGTTGGTGTGGGTTAATTAGGATTCGTGGACCCACCCACAGAATATCTTTCCCGCAACTCCTTCCCCTCTTCCTACTACCCAATTGATCATATCCTTATCTTCTCATCACTCAAGGTAGGCCCACCAATATTTTTTTATAATCCCATTTCCTTTCTGTATCTTCATGCTTGGAAGTTTCATGAGGGCGTGTCTTGAAATTTTATTTTTTTCCAAATTTTTGTGATTTTCTTCTCCTTGAGAATTTTGACCAGATATGATTGTTAGTGTGTAGTATCGTGTACGATTGTTTATGTTAATGATGTATTTTCTTTTTTCGTTTTCAAGATTTTAGAGGGAAAACAATCATTGAGAAGTAGAAGCGATGAAAAGTTGCCCCAAATAAGCACGCGGTTTTAATAAGTTTTTTTTTTTCATACTGAGCCATTATCGATTAGAAAGTAATTTCTTACGCATGTCCTAATTTTAATATAGATTGCTTTTGTTGGGTATTCGATTATTGACCTTCACCTAACAATAACTCAAAAAATCGAAAGAAAGGAAACAAAAAGAAAGTCAAATCAAGGGAATAGCACAGATGCATGTTTGCGCCCGCGGTTCTTGATCTTTCAATGAATGGTTCCTCGAAGATAGTACAAAATCTCGAATAAAACGATCTCGATTTCTTTCCACGACGAGAAAACCCACTTTAAATAGGTTCGTCACGGATCGATGAACCATTTTATTTATCTCGGAGCAGGATAAGATGTGAATCGATAAAACCCAAATGGATTATCCATGGAATATTTACACTTCTTGTCGTGGAGAATTGAATTCCTAATCAGTACGTACAAGGTCGCTTCTTAATCCCTAGCCCATCCATGGATTCAATAGTGTGGATATTCACCAGCCCTAGAAGATAAAAAAAAAAAGAGCATAAGTACAATTCCAAGAGTCCCTTTTCGTCCGGATGTTTGTCATAAGCATCGGCCAATTCCGGGGCTCGCAGCCCCATGATTCTGACCTAGTTGACAGCTACATCGACACAGGATTATTATGAATCCAAAATGAATTCACAAACAGAGTCAATAATGACAAGACAATATTCTCATTTGGCGTCACTTTTTTGGGTTTGGTATCGTTTGTTGTTCGACTTACTTTAGTGCAAATATCATTATTGCAAAGTCAAAAATGTTATGTATTCTATATGAAGATTCAGCCATTGGTGGCGGCCGAGAATTTAATATTCTCTTCATTCAACTAAACCGTTATTTGGTTATAAGTAAAACCTAAACCTATTTCATCTTGGGTCTCGTCTGGATCTCGGGATCCTCAGAATGTAAAGTAAGTAGATGGTATTTCCACCTCTCAGGAAAGAAAAAGATTTGAAGGGAATTTCATCAATTGATGCCACCGAGAGTTTAATAGTCTCTTCATTCAATTAAACTATTATTGATTGGCCCAAGATATCCTATTTTATGTGCTGTGTGCTCCTTTTTTCTAAAGTTGATAGCTGTTATGTCTAGAAGTGATGGATTTCAATCGATGATTGAGAATTTTTCAGTTTTTATATGCTACGGTACTTTGTATAGAAATCAAGATGAAATGCTTGGTGATTGCAACGAATCACGATCGAAGGGTTAAGGGAATGTAGTAGTGCCTGAGATATAGTCAAGAAATTTTGATCAGGTTCTTCCATTTGGGGTCAAACTGTTTCCTATCACATCTCCTTCACTAATATAAGACCTAGCAAAAGAATATAGTCGGACTCTATTTAGTGATTAAGGACTCGCATAATTGCATGTGTGAGTAAACGCATGACACATGTTTGATTTGTCTACATCAACAAGTGCAAATAATCTCATATTTGGGGCATACCCATTTGATTTATGCTCGCGCCTTACTTGATTTATGAGATGAGTGATGGCATTTTAGTGGGGCTCACAAGCATATTCTTTTTCGTAATAGAAAAGAGCAGAAATACTTGCCTTGTGTTGGCGAAGAGAGAGAAAAAAAAAACAAGTAAAGAATTGTGCTAAAAAGTTTTTAGCAACTAATGTGTGCAGAGCTGTATAAGCTGATGAGCCAACCATACCTCTATCGATTTGGCTTCTTCCCAATAATCAGCTGTATTTTGATTTGGCATGCAATATAGTGTTTACAGGGGAAAATTGCCAAAAAAGTCTTAAATTTAGAGCGCGAATGACAACATTTATCTTCCCGGCCCTATTTCTAGCTAGAAATAAAAAAAAAATCCATTTCTATTCCCCGGATGAGTTTATGAGCAAAAAGTAGCGTTTGATAACGACACAAAATTTATGTTCCCGGGATAGAAATTCGTTTGATAGGTTATTCTTAAATTTTTGTTCCCGGTGGCCGGCGGCTGAGCAACGGCGAATGGCTGGCGAGCTGCGGCGGGTGGCGGGTGGGCGGTAAGCGACAACAGGCGGCGGCGGCGGCGCGTGGGCAGCGACAGGCGGCAATGGTGAGCAATAAAAGAGAGTTGTTATTTCTGTTTTGATTTCAGAAATAGAAAAGTAAAAAATTTTAACTTCTCATTTCTGTTCCAAATCTATTTTTAGGCCAAAATTTATCCTAGAAATATAAAAATGAAATTATTTTATCAAACAGATTTTTGTTCCAAACCTGTTTCTAGGAACAAAAATATAAAAAATAGGGAAACAGAATGGTTATTATTTGCGTCCTTATTGTATCAAATTAGTCCTAAACCTTTCAATTATGCCAATTTAGTCATCAAATCTTTTGAGGATTTGACAATTTAGTTATAAACCTTTTGACGATTTGCCAATTTAGTCATTGTGAACAATTTTGATAGGAAATCGCCGACGTGGCGGTCTAATCGGCATTGGCCATCCTACGTGGCACGACCGACGTGATGTGGATAATTTTTTTTACAATTTTAATTTTTTTCATTTTTCATCTTTCATTTTTCATTTTCTTCTTAACCCTAGGCCGGTGAGGTCGTTGGTCAATCCTCGTTGGCCATGGGCAAGGTCTTCCGCGCCCATTTCGGCCATAGACGAGGGCATTGCGGCCATCGCTTGGATCTAAGTGAGGGCCTCCACATCCTTGCCCAAACTAGGCGAGGGCCTGTGGCTGGGCCGACGCTTGCCCGTGGCTCGCGA